CTATAAGAGGTTTCGTGAGAGAACATCTCCTAATTCTTCTATTCCCTCAGCGATTTCTTTCTGGGGGATACAAAAGGTGACCTTGCGACGTCGCGGTACGCGTGCGGTGAGATTCGAGTGGGACGGAATGCTCAGAATCAATCGTCATGCACACAACGTTCCTTCAGTGCCCAAATTTTCGTGACGTGTCACACTGATCTCTTGTTAGGTAACGTTTTTATCACTGTATTGTATTCCCGTACATTTGATTAATTTAAAACAGAAACGACTTCTCAAAGTATTTAAAAATTTACTGCCTGTAAACTGGATTTGGCCGCATATATTCCGAAGAAACTAAAGGCACTTGAATTTTCCAAAAATCTCAATGCTACATGAAATGAAAGCAAATTACCTGTTCATCGTATGGCCAAGCAGTGAAATCGAAGCGGCAAGTGACATGGAAAGAGAACGAGCCACTGGCCCAAACTCTTCCATTACTGCTGATCATCGCCGGTAAGCCATGCATGTATAGATGCCAGGAATTCCCTTTTGCGCTAAACAGGTATAGAGTGATTATTTGTACAATTCACGACCAGGATGCAGCCCATTAGACCAATTAATAGAGACCGGGTAGTTCGAGATTGAGGCCCCCTTTCTTCGGGTGCCAGTTGGTCGGCGGCAAAATCAACTGGAGAGAATTAAGCGCTATTAGAATATATCACGTACATCGGCTTGTCTACAAGCCATAAAAGGGACCAAGTACGTGTTTATGTGCAACTGTGACTTTGAAGGAAGGTAAACGTCGTGGACGCATTCCGAAATTGTGTTTATCATGCCAGCTTTCAAGCCTTTAATGCAGATGGCTCATTCATTCTATTCAAAAAACAAAAGAGCGGAAAAGTGAAGGGCTTTGTTAAAAGTTGAAGGGACTGAAAACCAAAATCTGAAGATAGTCAAAACCTGTTATAAAGAGCCAGCGCCGGTTGCCATATTCTCCACGAGTCAATGTTGATTTTTGTTGTGTCGTTGTAATCCTTCGGAGTCCAAACAAGATATTCATCAATCCATGTTGCCCATAAGTGGCCATGCACCAGCATTGTTTGCTCGTGCTCATCCTGCATTGAATATAATGCGTTATAAAAAATTACAAAATGAATATTCCACATAATCTATCTATACCCCCGCCCAAAAAGGAGGTAGTGTGTTGCTGTGTGGTGGGCCGCAGCTTCAACGCGGACATCCAGAGGTCTAATACCAAATCATGTATCGACTAAGACAACCAAGCCTTCTACTCCTCCAGGGTCGCTTATTTGATATGGAAGTTCAGAAGAAGTTGCTTTGGGAATAGGCAAGATTGCTCTAGTAGCATGAGTGTTCAGAATCGAGGTAGAGTGCATGGCGCAGTCCCGATAAAAATTAGTCGATCAACGTCGTATGCCTCACTTCCCTTTTATGTGACTATAGAATTAGGGCATCTCAAATACTTACCAACTTTTGAATTTGAAAGCGGATTTTGCAATGAAAAGATAGTTTATTGGAAATAAGGGTAGAGGTGGTGAGTGATGCAGGGATAAAGAAGAAACCACGTGAACATGGCCCGAAATCCCAGGAAATGAGCCCCTTCCTTGCCCGTTGATTTCCGCATTGCTGCAACTTCATCGTTGTGCCTCTCCAAAAAAGGCCATGTCAGATCACCAGGGGCATATCCTTTCGATCTGAATTCCTTGCTGGTTCTGCCTGTCTCTTCACTACATAGGTAAGTTCTGTTTCTTCGACTTTCGTTTTTTACCGTGGAATCCG